CCTTTTAAACAGGATTTAAAGCATTCTGCCATTTTGGCATGTTTTATTGTTTTGCTCACTTTTAACTTAAGGTAGATTTTTTTTTTTTTTTGGTTCTAAAAATTCAGAAAATGATTACCAAAGAAAATTAAAATCAGGTGGATTTTTGCAACTTTAAGCATGAGTAAAACCCTTAGACTTTGGTAATTCATTCATTCTCTGATCTATATGCTGCCAGATATTTGAGGGTGTAGATTTTAGAATGTGAATTGTATAGGAAATTTATAATTAAACATGTAATAATGACCTAGAAGTTAGTGGTGTACTGGTAAATGTTTAACAGCTGGTTCTCGTAGAACTTACTGCTGCCCGTGGTATAAAGACTCCCATCCTGCCTGATTTCAAGCTACCAATGTGAAGTTGCATAGTGAACTCTTCAACACTGGTACTGAAGCAAAGCAGGATTCTAAAATGTCATCTGGGTCATCAGACGGGATAAATTCTGTAGCACAGAGTTTTGTCGTTAAATGTATTTCACAAATTTTAAATATTAAGTATATGGAAAATGTTTGATTAATCTGAAAATCCCATTCATCAAATCAGTCAGCCAATAACAAATTTTTAGTGTAATTTTTTTCTGTATTTTTTTATTATGTTTTATTTTAGGTTCAGGGGTACATGTGCAAGTTTGTTATATGGGTAAACTGTGTGCCAGGGGGGTTTAGTATACAGATTACTTTATTTCCCAGGTAATAAGCATAGTACTCAATAAGTATTTTTTTCTTATTTTCTTTCCTCTCCCACCATCTACCCTCAAGTAGGCCCTGGTGCCTGTTGTTTCCCTCTTTGTGTCCATGTCTTCTCATTGTTTAGCTGCCACCTATAAGTGAGAATGTGTGGTATTTGGTTTTCTGTTCCTATGTTAGTTTGCTTAGGATAATGGCCTCTAGCTCCATCTATGTTGCTGTAAAGGATATGATCTCATTCTTTTTTATGGGTACATAGTATTCCATGGTATATATGTACTACATTTTTAAAAATTGAATCTACTGTTAATGAACATTTAGGTTGATTTAGTGGCTTTGGTATTGCGAATAGAGCTGCAATGAACATATATGTGCATGTGTCTTTATGGTACAGCAATTTATATTCTTTGGGTATATACCCAATCATGGGGTTGCTAGCTAAATGGGTAATTCTGTTTCAAGTTCTTTGAGGAATTATAACACTGCTTTCCACAATGGCTGAGCTAACTTAGAGTCCCACTGGCAGTATATAAATGTTACCTTTTCTTCACAGTCTCTCTAGCATCTATTACTTTTTGACATTTTATTTTGTTTTATTTTTTTAGATGGAGTCTCATTCTGTTGCCCAGGCTGGAGTACAGTGGCAGGATCTTGGCTCACTGCAACTTCCACCTCCCAGGTTCAAGCAATCCTCCTGCCTCAGCTTCCCAAGTAGCTGGGACTACAGGTACCTGCCACCATGCCCCGCTAGCTTTTGTATTTTTAGTAGAGACGAGGTTTCACCATGTTGGCCAGGCTAGCCTTGAACTCCTGACCTCAGATGGTTCCCCCACCTCAGCCTCCCAAAGTGCTGGGATTACAGGCATAAACCATCATGGCTGGCCTTGACTTTTTTATAATAGCCAATCTGACTGGTGTGAGATACTATCTCTGTGTGGTTTTGACTTGCATTTCTCTAATGATGAGTGATGTTGAGCATTTTTTCACATGCTTGTTAGCTGCATATGTGTCTTTTGAAAAGTGCCTGTTCAGGCCAGGCGTGGTGGCTCACGTCTGTAATCCTAACACTTGGGGAGGCTGAGGCCAGTAGATCACCTGAGGTCAGGAGTTCGAGACCAGCCTGGCCAACATGGTGAAACCCCATCTCTACTAAAAAAGAAAAAAGAAAAGAAAAGAAACAGAAAAAGTGTCTGTTCATGTCCTTTGCCCACTTTTCAATGAGGTTGTTTGGTTTTTGCTTGTAAATTTGTCTAAGTTCCTTATAGATTATAGGTATTAGATCTTTGTTGGATGCATAGTTTGCAAATATTTTCTCCCATTCCATAGGTTGTCTGTCTACTCTGTTGACAGTTTCTTTGGCTATGTGGAAGCTTTTTAGTTTAGTTAAGTCCCATTTGTCAATTTCTATTTTAGAGTTGCTTTTGGTGACTTTGTCATAAAATCTTTGCCTGATCCTATGTCCAGAATGGTATTTCCTAGATTATCTTCTTGGGTTTTTATAGTTTTAGATTTTACATGTAAGTATTTAATCTATCTTGAGTTGATTTTTGTATATGGCATAAGGAAGGGGTTCAGTTTTAATCTTCTGCATATGGCTAGCTAATTATTCCAGTACCATTTATTAATCAGGGAGTCCTTTCTTCATTGCTTATTTTTGTCAGCTTCATTAAAGATCAGATGGCTGTAGGTGTATGGCATTATTTTTGGGCTCTCTATTCTGTTCCATTGGTGTATGTGCCTGTTTTTGTACCAGTACCCTTCTGTTTTGGTTACTGTAGTCTTATAATATAGTTTAAAGTTGGGTAATGTGATGCCTCCAGTTTTGTTCCTGTTGCTTAGGATTGCCTTGGATGTTTAAGCTCTTCTTTGGTTCCATATGAATTTTAGAATAGGTTTTTCTAATTCTGTGTAGAATGTCATTGTTAGTTTGATAAGAATAGCATTAAACCTGTAAATTGCTTTGGGTAGTATGAGCATCTTAATGATACTGATTCTTCAGAAGTAACCAAAATCAGAGCTGAACTGAAAGAAATTGAGACATGAAAAACTGTACAAAAGGTCAATGAGTCAGGAGTTGGTTTTTTTTATAAACATTAATAATATAGATATACCACTAGCTAGACTAATAAAGAAAAAAAGAGAAGCTCCAAATAAACACAATTAGAAATGACAAAGGAGACATTAACGCTGACCCTGCACAAATACAAAACATCCTCAGAGACTACTATGAAAACAAACTAAAACATCTAGAAAAAATGTATAAATATCTAGACACATACAACTTCCTAAGACTGAACCAGAAAGAAAATGAGTTCTTGAACTGACCAATAACAAGCTCTGAAATTGAATCAATCAGTAATAAAAAGCCTACCAATCAAACAAAGCCCAGAACCAGACAGATTCACAGCTAAATTCTGCCAGATGTATAAAGAAGATCTGGCACCATTTCTACTTTCACCAAATTGAGGAGGGACTCCTCCACAACTCATTATCTGAAGCCAGCATCATTCTGATACCAAAACCTGGTAAAGACACAACAAAAAAAGAAAACTTCAGGCCAATATCCTTGATAAACATTGATGCAAAAATCCTCAACAAAATACTAGCAAACCAAATTCAGTAGCACATCAAAAAGCTAATCCACTATGATCAGGTGGTGTTATCCTTGGGATGCAAGGTTGGTTCAACATACACAAATCAATAAATATGATTCATCACACAAACAAAACTAAAAACAAAAACCACATGATTATCTCGATATATGCAGGAAAGGTGTTTAACATAATTCAGCTTTCCTTCATGTTAAAAACCCTCAACAAACTAGGCATTGAAGAAACATACTTCAAAATAATACAAAGTATCTGTGATAAACCCATGGCCAACATTATACTTAATGAGTAAAAGCTGGAAGCATTATCCTTGAAAGCCAGAGCAAGACAAGGATACCCTCAATCACCATTCCTTTTCAATATAGTGCTGAAAGTCCTGGTCAGAGCAATCAGACAAGATAAAAAAGAAAGGCATCCAAATAAGAAGATAGAAAGTCAATCTATCCCTGTTTGCAGATGACATGTTTCTGCATCTAGAAAACCTTATAGTCTCTGCCCCAAAGCTCCTTGATCTGATAAACAACTTCAGCAAAGTTGTACAAAAATCAATGTATAAAAATCAGTAGCATTCCTATACACCAACAACATCCAAGTTGAGATCCAAATGCGAAATGCAATCCCATTTACAATGGCCACAAAAAGAATAAAATACCTAAGAATACAGCTAACCGGGGAGGTAAAAGATCTCTACAATGAGAATCACAAAACACTGCTCAAGTAAATCAGAGATTACACAAACAAATGCCAAATAAAATTTACTTGTAATTTTTCCATTTAAACCAACACATCATGGGAAATTCTAGGGGTCTTGAGGTAGGAAATATGAAAAATTTTAATTCAAAGTTACTTTCTAGGACACCACATAAGGGGATGTGGGTAGAGGGAGGGTAATTATAAAAATTTGGGTTAATTCATCTAGAAATGAAGAGGTTAATAATTGCATTAATACTGGTATTCAAATGCCTGAGTGGTGATGGTTAACCAAAACCAAACCACCACCACCAACACACACACACACACACACACACACTCACACACTTTTCTTTATTTCTGTAAAGAACAAAGAAAATAAACACACACTAAAAGAGGAGGGATTTATCTTGAATAAAGACCTGCCTAGTTGCAAAGATGATGAAGAATGAGTTACTTTTATAGTCTTCTTTTGTTGTGATACATCTTTTGAAATAATAGAATGTTGTCTGTCTGAGATCATTTTGGTGTGATTCGTAATGTATCTGCTGAATTTCATACATTGGATACACTACTTTTGTTTTTCAATACCGAGGAGGACAATGTATAAAGCACAAACAACTTAAAATATCTAGCAACGTGGAGCTCTTGAAATCCAAACGTTTGTAGTGACACTGAACATATGAATGATTGCAGTTGTAGCAGGGAGAACTCAGTGATTCAGGGAGGAAAACCTCAAGTTGGGGGTAGAGTGACTGGAAAATTCATTTGGTTGCTTTAAAAGATCATCTTAACTCTGGCTCAAGATTCACATTTCCCACTTGTGTCTTGTCTTCAAAAATAAAAAAGAGGAAACCACCAATGAGAACATGTGGTGTTATAAATCATTCTGGCTATTGTTAGAAAAATGAGTAAGGGTTCTAAACAGTTTCAAAGGGTCCTGACCGGCTCTTTTCACTCACCTTGAGAAGAACCATAAAAGTGAGAAAACAAAGGAATTCTTTTTCTTTTTGGACACCCGTCATCAGCAGTGTTCTCTTTGGGCTGCTGGCATCTGGGCCCAGTTGCTGGGTTACAGGCAAATATAATCAAAACAAACACTAAAAGGTACTCTTTTGGCTCTTAGCATGTTGGAAAGGTCTTCTGCCTTCCATCCTCTGCGTTAGCCAGTTCTCAGTGCAGAAGTGTCTTTCTTACTTGTCCTTCCCTTTTCTTCTTGCAGGACAACTTCTGATCACAAACTTGTTGTGGAGGAGAAGAAGCCCTTAATGAGGCCATTAGAGCTTTAGACCTTTCTCCAACTTCCTGTTGAACGGCACCAGGAATTTAACCTGTTTCCAGTCACTCTCTGTTAGTAGAATTTACCACCCTACCCCCTCCTCTGAGAATTGGTGAGTGTGCCTCTTCTACCAGTAGCATTAATTAACCCTTTGCTCCCCACTTTTTCTAGTTACCAAGGACAGATTACCAAGGAAACAAATGGTATTTTCCATTCAGGACTGTGGTGCCAGATTCAGTGATGGACTTCCTGCTTCTCAGCATTTGTGATGTGTTATACTATATTTGAACTTGGACAGGAAAGCTCCAGGCATGTTTAGAAGTTTGGCAAATAAGATCTATGGCAAAAGTCAACCAGTTAGCCAGTTTGTCTAGAGTACTTTATTAAGGTTCTTGGGGTGCCAAGCACTTTAATAGAGTCAAGGTACACTCCACAGGAGTTAAAGACACCAGGATGATTTGTCCTGGAGAAGAGAAGAATGAGAGAAAGCTGCTATAAATCCTTTAATATTGAAAGAGGTTTGTTTATTTATTTATTCAGAGGGTAGTAAACAATTGTACTCCAACTCTGCTAAAGGTAGAACATGAGGAAATGCACTTGAAACATAGACATTCTACATACATTTAAGGAAGAAATCCTCAACAGTGCAAAAGACCAAGTATCTTAATGAGTTCCCTAGAAAGATGGTCACATATCCTTTCTGAAAACCTGGACTGAAAAGGCTTGACTCTTCTCTGCCTGAAATGGTTTAGTTTTGTGTGTGTGATTATATATATGTGTTTGTCCGAAGACAAGAGTTGGACTGATTTCTAATATGGGAAAATTCTAACCATGACTGATCTTTTAAAAACAAATATTCGCTATATTTCCGGAAAGGTCAGAGGTAAGTGTTTTTATCCTGGTGTTTTGTAAAATCTGAACCAAAGAAGACAAGATGTCTTTTCCATGGTCACCTGAATTATGAATGTTAGAACCAAACATAATTTTTCAAGTATATATCGTGTTTAAAAGTTTGGAATCTCCAGAATGAATTTTATCATAGTGAACTGAATAAAATCATGGTGTCTTTCCAAGGCTGGCTTGTAGTGTTTTCCCCCTTTATTCTCGTCGTTATCACAGCTACTATTCATTGAACTTCTGCTATGTCAGGGATTGGACTCAGAGCCTTACATGCATTTTAATCTCTTAATCCTTACATCTATTGTATAAGATAGGAGTTGTTATTTTTATTTAACAGATGATGAAACTGAGCTCAGATAAATTCTGCTGTGACTTGCCCAGTTGCAGTTACCAAACTAGTAGGTGGTGGAACTAGAATGAAAACCCTGGTATCTCTAAATCCAAAACTCTCCTTCCACTGCACTAGTCTGTGAGGGAGAATCTGACTCAATTGTGTTACATCACAAGGATTCAACTCTTGTTAATACAAAAATAATCTATACATATTAGCCTTTCTGATTTGCTAAAACATAGATGATTTATGTTCATTAACACCCTTAAAATTGTTGAAAACCCTTTCTGCCTAAGAAAATATAAAACAATCTTCAAAGCAGAAAACATTTTAATTCCTTTACTGTCCTCTTTCGGCAGTGATTTTCCTGAGTGATTATAAAGCCATAAGATTGAATTTATTTGAGCTATATTTCATAACACAACTAGCCTCAAATTATGGAAACCTTCTCGAATAGCTAGATCTTATATTCAACAGTTTGATACTATTTTATAATCTGAGTAAGGCATGCCTTTTATTCCTGGCTGCTGGAATATTCCAAATTCCTTTTAGAAATGAATCTTCCACTTGGACCTCCTCAGCTATAGATTTCCTCTCTCGTCTCATGATCAGATCAAATTTACAGGCTCACTACTTAATAAATGGGGCTGCTGTCTAGAACAGGCACTGGCAAAATGCATCAGATCCAAATGTAATTTTGTTGTTGTTGCTTTTTTTCCCTAGCCACCAGACCACCAGGGATCAAATGCGATTTTGAATAAGCCTCTTGTTCAAACTCTATGGATCCAGGTTTTTCATCTGTAAAGTGGAAGTAATGACGCTGATATCTCCCAGTTGTTGTTATGAGAAGGTAAATGAAATTGTCAACAAGAAAACTTGGTTAAATGTGTAACAGGTGTTGTTTGCATTTGCTATGTGAATGGGATTATACCTTGGTTCACTCTAGATCCAGAAATTTGTAATAATTAACTGATTCATCACTTGGTTCAATTAACCTTTATATTCTACTTTCTTCCATAAAAGATAGAAATACTTTGATGCAAAAACAGCATACCTTTTTCCTTTTGCTTTAAATTTTCTCTGATCTGGAACTCTACCAAAAAAGAACTCATTATTTTCTCCGTAAAATCTGTTACTCTTCCCATATTTCCTGTAACCGTTGATGATGTCACAGTACTCCCAGTTTCAATACCAATCTCCCAAGTGGAAACGTTAGGAGTATTTTCTTTCTCTCTCTTCTTCCTCCTCTGCCCTACCACTTCCACCCTTTCCCTCCCCAACTTAGCTATGGTCAAATTCAACTGATCAGAGACATGTCTATTGGATCTATCCTTCACTTAGCCTGGACCATCTCTTACTAGGACTAGTGAGTCTTTTTCTGCCAGGATAGGTAGAAATACAACTTTCATCCACAGCCACAGCCTATAAAATTGTGTCTAAGGAAAAGTTTTGTCAACAACAGTCTACGAATTTACCCTCTTTTTCTAGCTGATGTGGCTTTTGTTTCAAATTCCTACATTAGGAATTAAATTGGATAATATGCCAGCTAAAAATATTTTGTTGGTCTTCTTGGGTCTGAGGTCAAGACCCAAGCCTGTCTTACCTTACTGTCTATATGGGGAACAATTCATAGGACCAGGAAGTACTCTGTGGAAGAAAGGGAGGCCGAGGGAGAAGATCTCCCTAAATATTTTTCCACTTGGAATCAAAGATGTTTCCTCCATGGCTTCTTTCTCAGAGAGCTCCAGCTCCTAGTACCGTGGCCCAGCTCTGGGTTCTTGGTCTCAGTTCATCACTAGAGCTTAGTCTACTACTCAGGAGTAGAGCTGGAAAGAGAAAAGGGAGACTTGGGTTTTTCCCAAAGGAGTGCTGTCACATTAGGTGTCACGAAATCATTTTTGTAAGCTGTGACCAACCTTTAAGAAAAAAAAAAAAAGTAACATTATAGAATGGAAAGAAATAGGAAACAACAGAATAGAAAGTATTAGGGTAGATGTCATAAGTTAAGGGTATAAACTTTTTATGAAGCCTTTATTTTATTCATATGTGAGGGTAGTCATGTATGGGTTTATGTGTGTGTATGAGTGTATTTGGTCAAAATATGAAACATTTGTTACTCTGGGTCAAGATCTAAAGAGTTTGGACATTGCTAGTTTAGAATATATAAACAACATTCTTTCTGCTTCTAGTTTTCCCCCTATGATCCATCCTCTATACCTCAAATGGTCAGTTGGATCGTGTTTCTATAAACCAGTGGGGTTGGGCCATGTGTGGTGGTTCGTGCCTATAATCTCAGCAGTCTGGAGGTCAAGGCAGAAGTGTTGTTTGAAGGCTGTACTTTGAGACCATCCTGGGCAACATAGCAAGATCCCCCCATCTCTACAAGTAATTTAAAAATTAACTGGGCCTGGTGGCGCATGCCTGTAGTCCCAGCTACTTGGGAAGCGGAGGAGGGAGGGTTGCATCACTGTAGTGATTGCATCATTGTAGTCCAGCCTGAGTGACAAAATGAGACCCTGTCTCTAAAACAAAGCAAACCAATAATCACCCTGTGTAGGGAGCTCCGCTACTCATAGGACCAATTTATGAACTGACATTCAACATCTTCAATAATCTGATTTTAGCTATTTTCTCAGTTTTATTTACTCTGCATCCTTCCTACTCATCTACTCTATCTTTTCTGAAAGTATCTTTCAGAATTATCTTTTTGCCTTTACTTATATTGTTCTTTGGGCTAAAATGACAGTTTCCCTTTTTCACTTGACTAAATCTAACTCACTAAAAATGACATTATAATTTAAAATAACATTATTTAACATAACATTAAAATAACATTATTTTTCTGACTATAAATTTTGGATATTACAGAGATTACTAAATATAAATCACATAATCCCACAATCCAGAAATAGTATGATATCTTTAGATGTATTTTCTGATCTTTGCTTCAAAGTACATATATATATTATATATATGTATACATGCATATATATATATTTAGAACCCTTCTTTTAAATTGAGTATATTATAAACATTTTACAATGTCATTAATATTCTTCTAAAATATATATAATGGATGTATTAGATTTTATTATATTAATATAATAGTTGATCTTCATAAGTAATGACTTGATCTATGTCTTTATGTATTCCTCTGATTTTTTCTTTCCTTAAGAATAAATTATTAGATTTGAATTTACTGAGTAAGGTTATATTAACATTTTAAGGGCCTTGTTAAATATATTGCTTGGTCTCTCATAAGAACTATAAAAAAAAAAACCTGTGTTTGCCAATGTTACAGAAAATAAATTGCAGTATTTTAATTTGCATTTTCTGAGTATTAGCTATGTTAATCTTTCTTTTTAATGTTTATCAGTTATTTATATTGCATTTTGAGGAAATTGCTTTTTATGGCTTTTGTCTACTTATTTTTTTTTTTTACTAGGGAGGTTGTTTTTTCACGTTTTCTTTTTTTTCCCCTCATTATAAATCCTGCTTATACCTCAAAGCTCAATTAAAAACGTATTCTCCATGAATTTTCTTCTAGTGTTTCAGTTTGAATATTTGTTTTTTCATAACACATCATTTGTACCTCTATTTAGAGATCAATTTAGTCTTTCACAGTGGTTGCTATATTTCCCATTTAGTTACAAGATATTTGAGGGTAGAAAACCTTTTCTATTTGTTTTTGTATCTCTCTCTGGCAAAAGCCACAAATCAAGTATTCAGTATATTTTTTCCCATATGCTTTTATAATATTCTATCTGAGACTACACTTGTGTATATTAGGAAGATTTATGGAGCACAGAATGCATTTTTCTTGGAGTGCCGAGGAGGAGAGACAGGTGCCCTTTCTGAAGTCTACGGTTTTGCTTCCTTCTTCCATTTAAAGTAATTTCACCAGCATTAGAATGAAAATTTTCACATCACTTTCACATAAATTTTTCACATAAATTTTTTATTTTATCCCTCTTTCCCTCAACACCATGGTGTTCTGTTCTGCCTTTATACATTTACAAGACATGTGAGGTCATTTAAATGATTTTTGTAATTAGTCAATAGTTAGAATCATAAAAGGCAATTGCTGGATAAAATCCTGGAGATCAGCCCATTCCAAACCTTAGATCCTCTACCAGTTTCTACTTCCAAGACTTCCTTCACTTGAGCTGGCATTGGCTTCTCACAAAGTCTAAAACTCAGGCCAAGCATCAGGAGGCAATTCTCCCTTTCCACTCTTTATCCTGAGGAACCATCACTCTAAGCTCCTTTCCTGGAGAAGAGCATGAGTTTGACACACCAGTAAACCAGGGCCAGAAGCAGGTGCCACTCCAGAAGTCACCCAATTAACATCCCTGCCTGCCTTCTTGGTGAGGTTCTCCAGGAGTGGCATAACTACCAGACACAGGATTTTCAGTCTGCTTCTGGAAATTTCAGTTGCTCTCATACTTTTAACAGGTTTGTTATTGATTAAGTCTCTTCTATTCTGTGCTGGGAACTTTGCAGGTATTCTATCATTATGTCTTCCAGTTGTTCCCATTTTACATTTAAAGAATTGAGGCTTGCAGTATTTAAACCCTCAAGGTCACACAGCTGGTCAAGTAGGGTAGCGAGAACTTGAGCTCAGGTTTGCCTTCCTCAGAGCTCCTGTTATTTTCACTATACCAGGTTTCAAGGCATAAAAAGGTGATTTGGATTACTGAAACCATATGTGCATCTCTGAGAGGCTTTCACTGTCTTGTTAATGCAACCATTGATTTTTAGGTGTGAAAGGGAGAGGAGTTGTTTTAAGGAACATTTATTTTGAAAGATAATTACGAGTGTTCAGAATAATCACTGAATTAGTGCTTATAGGTGTGGTATGATAAATTAAAAACAATAGGTGAACAAAAATACTTATCAAATGAAAGAGAATTACATGCTTATTTTAATTAAGGATATGTTTGATTTAATGAGGAAGTGAGATTTGGCACCCACAATACCAGAAGTTTTGAGGGCAGAGTAGTTACAACCACAGATCTTAGGTGTCAATCAGAACTGGATTTACATCCTGGTTTAGCTAGGAATACTTCATCTGTCTATAACTAAGTTTACTCAACTGTAAAGAGGGGTAATAATTCATATGTCTTGGACATTCAGTGGGATAATATACTTATTCATTTGTGTATTCATTCCTTTGACAAAAATATTTTTGAATATTTACAATTCACATGATTCTGAAGATGTAACCATGAATGAGACACATACATGATTCCTGCCCTAAGAGAAGTGATAGTCTTATGGTTAAATGTAAAGTGTTTTCTTTTGTGGTGTCAGACACATGCTAAGCAGTAATTCGTGACAGATGTCATTATTATATTATTATCATTACTATTATGAGTGTGCATTTCTACAACTGCTTGTAATTTTGACATATCTTACATTTGATAATAAATGTGAGACCTAGTTAACATTTTCCTGTACTGGCATTTCTAATTAAAGGATAGTGTCATAAGGTAACAAGCAATTATTGTTAACAAAGGAAGTACTGTATAATCAGAACCTTGCCTCAAGAATGTAGGGTTTCTTCTCTCCTCCTTATTTCACTGCTCTTCCGTCTTTAGCCACATGAAACACTCAGATAAGTGTCTGGCATGATGAATAACTATTAGTTAAAAAAAGAATGTATGATTGAATGAGGGTTGCACAAACTCTAAACACAATATCTGGCTATTGCCTGAAAAGAGATGTTATCTAGTTATAAGTTGTACCATGATAGTCACTATATAATAAAAAAGACGTTTTTGTAAACTCAAGCATCTTAACGTGGGGGAAAATCCAAGGTGGGAAACTCTAATCAGGAAAGTTATTTTT